TAGTTTTGACAGTGGCGTAGCTAGGGTGGGGCAAGGGGGCATCTGTCCCCGGGCACAGCATCCAAGGGGCGCCAAACTGATGCTACGAAATTGTTTAATGAAATGTTTTCCATTCTTGGCACATAGAAAGGGGCGCAAATTCTTCAGTTCTCCCCGGGCGCTAGGAACTCTAGCTACGCCCCTGAGTTTTGACTTGAGCTGTTGAGCTGGTGATCAACTAAAATATTCAGGTGCCAATCAGATTCTACTAGCATTACAACACAGGAGTAAACAAGAATCAGAATATATATATGCACAGAAAGTAAACGAACAAATGCTTAAAGAACAATCTGGAAATTTAAAATAGCCATAGATTACTGTTGGTTGGATAAGAGATCGGATGGTGCTAGCATTACAGTACAAGAGTAAACAAGAATCAGAATACATAGCATACGCAGTAGAAAATAAACTAACATAAGCTTAAACAACAATCTGGAAATTTAAAAGAGCCATAGTTAGTTTACTGTTGATGGTTGGATTATCACAATCCTAATTAAAACTCCACAATTAAGCTATGCAATTTCCCTTCTTAAATACAGAGTTTTAGTTTTCATGTGGTTTTCAAAGAATGTTCTTCCTAGCGACAATAATGCGTCTGAGGTTGGACAACTTTTAATTCCTCATGGGTCCTATTGTTCCTAATGTACCAGGGTGAGCTAGAGATTTACCTCAGAACACTGTTCTAGGAAGTTTGTACTTTTTTCTATTGGTTTTGCAGGAATACGCCCAGACTGGACAGGTATAACACAACATAAGACGCGCCAAAGTAATTTATAAACGAGTAACTTATTATTAACAGATAGTTTCGGGCAATTAGAATGTAGAGTTTTGCTTTACATGCTTGAAACTTCTGGATGATAAATGTAAGGTGTGAGGATCACCCCAAGATAAGTGATTTGCTTAGCCGAGGGCAAAACGCTTTCACAAAGCTGGAGATTGTGTTAATTTTCTTCTTTTCCAGAAGAAAAATAGAGACTGTTTTGCCTACGTTAATTATAATCTTCTAATTTTTTAGCCAGGTCTTAAGTGCTTAGATGTGATTTAGTAACTGATGCATGACTCGACTAAGACATGGAGCAAGGATCTCTGTGTGACCAGCATACATTGCAAGTGTAGTGTTGGGTGTGCATGGAATGTCGTACACATAAATACCATTAGCTGCATAAAGTGGGTCCTAACAGAGACTGTTGTGACATACCGGCTTAAATAGCCGGTATGCCGAAGCCAGTATGCCGTGTGGAATATGTACGTGAGCTGTAAATGACAAAGTGTCTGGCAGATAGTATTTAATAGTGTTTGTGATGTAATCTGGAAAGCCTAGATTGCATAATTTATATATGAGTCCTTTCCAGCCAGACACTTGGAAACCAATAGCATTAAAAAAAATTAAACGACATTCAGAAAAAGCATTGCACCTATGACGAAGAACTATTAAACTTTCAGTTAGACACTTCAAGCATTATTTAGAAGGAAGAGCATTTACAATTTATGCAGATCACAAACCCTTAATATTCGCTTTTCGTCAAAAACTTGACAAAGCATCATCTAGACAAGTCGGTCAACTTCATTATATGTCTCATTTTCAACTGGTATCAAATATGTAAAGGGTAAAAATAATATTGTAGCTGATACATTATTTAAGGGTAATGAAATTTCATCATAGATTATGATAAAATGGCTGATGAACAGACTCAAAATGATAAGTTGAAGAGTTTACATATCATTATTTCCTTGAATTTAAAGTCCTGTTCTCTACCTTCGAGGAAATATCTGTGGTGTAATTTGTGGTTTGATCATCAACAAAAATTATTCGGCCATATATTCCTCAAGCTTTGAAAAAAGAAATATTTCAAAGAAATCATGGTTTGTCACATCAATGAGTAAAATCTTCTATAAAGCTAATGATGCCAAAATTCGTTAGGCCTAACATGAAAGATATACAGTTGTGGATACGAACCTGCATTCTTTGCCAAACACCTAAAATCAACCGATCTACCAAAACAAAATTGGCTAATTTTAAAGTATCACCAGGAAGATTATCTATAATGCACATTGATCTCATCGAACAACTTTCCCCACTCAGAAATAATATTCACTGTCTTACTTACATTGACAGATTTCCAACCTGGATTGAAGCAATTCCTTAAGATAATATTTCAGTTGATACTTATACAAGAGCCTTTTGCAGCGACTGACTGCGCGTTTTGGAACTACAGATAAATTCGTTGGTGGTAGTGGTTCCCAATTTAAGTGCGAAATATTACGAACTTTGTTCAAACTATATGGTATCAAGATGTAACATACTACTGCCTACCACCCTCGTATAGTAGCAAATTTGAGTGCCTTCGCAGAACATTAAAACAGACTTAAAAGCTTACAACAACCTGTCACAGTAATTCTGGATTTGCTTACTGCTGTCCAAGAAGATATCAATCATTCTATTGCACAACCAGTTTATGGCCAGAGTCTCAAACTTTGGACAGTTTTTCAGTGAACGAAGTATCCGACAGCATCGGATAATTTTGCTAATAACCTCCAGAAATAGATGGAATTGTCGGATCCAGACCGATTCGTAAAAATTCATTTCAACCATGGAGGTAAAAGAATTCTTGGTTCAAGAATAAAAGGAAACGCCTTCCTCCTACTACAATTTACGCAGTGCTGCCGAGTTTTGGTAGCCAAAGGGGGTGTGCTTTGTTTACATCCAGAACATGTTGACAGGGGTTTGGTGGTCTGTCTACACACGACAGTTCAGAATAAATCGAAAAGCAGAGACATTTCCGCATAAAAGAAACATTCATTGCTGGATGGGTAGTAGTTTAGTGGCATTTCCGCTCAAATCACATTTTGGTTACCTTTCGATAATTTCCAATTCCGATTTTGGTAATGAATTTGTTTTATAAAATTATAGATATTCTAAAAATATAGATTTTAGCAAAATGTTTATGTTATGTGTAAAGAAAGATAAATACCTTGTAAGGATTATTTAATTTCATTAACAGTTAAATTTTGAGTTAAACGTCTTTCCTGTCAAATTCTTAACTTCAACTTACTACTTCCGGCCAGAACGTAGTTTTAGAATCACTTCTGAATACATAAAGAGCAGGAGCTGTATTTAAACTGCGAAGTTCTTCGGTCTGAGAGAGTTAAACGCCATTGATATTGAACACTTAAATTTCTTGAAACGTTTTTTGCCTAGCGGCGGCAGAGTGCTAAAAGTCTCTGAAAACTGGTAGATCGGTCTAGGGCTCTGTTGTAAATGCAGTAAATCATTTTCTTTAAAAAGCTCGAATAAAGCTTTAGTCAATTAAAACTGCACAACAACCAGACATCTTTGGTACTGCCAGTAATAGATAATAATGATAATAATAATAATAATAATAATAATAATAACAATAATAATACATTCACCGCTCCCAAGGATTATGAATAAGTTATCTATCTGCCAGATAAGAAGGCAATTATCTTTGTCTTGCTGGACGCTAGGATTCACGCTCGTGCTAGTAATCCTTTGAAGTCTGTCAAAAGCCTCAGGTCTGCGAGAAAGACAGCAATTTACTCAAGGTAAATCGCTTCCTTTCTAGCAGACCTAGAGGCAGCGATTTACCTTGAGTAAATTGCTGCCTTGAGAATTCTCTTTTGTTGATATACTTACAGTTTTTATATGGGTTCAGGAGCTTCAGCAGCCAAATCTTCATTTTGTCGAGCAATAGAATATAAAGATTGCTAGTTTTCATCTAACCCGATATCATGGGCATGTATAGGAGTATCTCCTCTAGGGGCTAAATATCGTATTGAAACATTGGTTTCATGACCTGGAAGTTTAACATAAGCATAATCTAGGTTAGTCTTAATGAGCTTCACTTCCTGCACAACAAACTCATATTTATTAGCTCGCGTATAGTGCTCTATTGATACTGTTTTAGGTTAGGTTAACCATGTAGGGAAAGAGCGTCCATTATATGAACTTCTAGCATGGATGAACATGCGTTCATGGGGTGCAGCATTTATTGCTGTACATAAGAGTGACCAGATCGAATGCAAAACAGATTGTAGAACTCCTTTCCAACACTCCATAGCCATTTTCTTTGATTTTTAGTGCTACCTGCATTGTTTTACGTATGATTCCATTATATCTTTCCATTTGGCCATTTCCTTGATGATTATATGCAGTGGTGCTACTTGTTGCTATACTAAGTGAAGGTAAGAAGGATTTTAATTCACCAGACATAAATGGAGATCTTCATTCAGAATGTATATAGGCTTGCATTCTAAAAATTGAGGAAATATTTTTCGAATGAGCAATAACAGTAGCAGATGACATATCCGGACAGAGGCAAATAAGAATCTTGAAAACTCGTGCACAATAGTAAGAAGGAACCGGTTCCTGGAAGCTGTAGGCAAAAAATCTTCGAAATCTAGATTTTTGTCGTTCAAAAGGTGCAGTTGCTTTAATTAAGTTTCTTTCACATCTACCAGAAGCGAAGTTTTACTTCACAGCAGTATCAAGAATTAACAGTTTTTCTAATTTATATTAGTCAAAAATGCAAATTTTTAGTTCTTATCCAGTGATACATACGAGTTATTCTGCGATGATAAAGTTCATTATGTAGTGAATTTAGGTCTATTTGAGGTTTTATAGCTGCATTTATTCGTTATAAAGTGTCTGCAGTTTCATTTTAATTCCAGTGCGACATATAATATTAAATTTGATAAAAGGAAGTTCTAACTGCCAGCGCATAATCTTCTCATTTTTAGTTTTACTCCAGTGCTGTTGATCAAACTTAAATGCCATATCCTTTTTTTTATGTAGTGCCTACAAGTGAAGCACGTATTAAATACTCTTCTCATTATTTTAAAAATGATAAACAGAAACAACAAAAAATTGCGGCAAGCATAGTCCATTTCTCACAAAACGTATGGCAACAATGCGAGTTGTCTGCTTCTGAGTTCCGAATTTGACACGTTTATGTAGAGTATATTTAACTCGTTTATTTGTATAAACCTGGGCTGAAATCTCAGCCAACACAAAAAGATAAAAGACACTTATCTTCAGATTATCGATGCTTACTCCCATTTTGTAGAAGCGATTAATAACCGAAGTTTATGCTAACTTGCGCAATTGGCCACGTGACATATGCATATCTCCTGTCATTATCAATATTTCGTTTCCTTGATTATCTAGTTTTGCCTCCGGGTACACATTGTAACCTCACAGTTTTAGTTTTCCTTAACCTTGCTAGGTGATGGCTGCTGTGACAGGACCTTTGCGTTTTACAGGAAGAGTTGCAATAGTAACTGGTGCTGGAGGCGGTGAGTTTAGAGTATTAAAATATTAATCATAAATGCTAAATTAGAAACTTTTTTTAAGGGCGAGTTTGGACTTCACATTAAAATCTTTAACCAGGAAATAACGTCTCTGTTGCATCACAATGCTCATAGTACCAAAAAAAAAAAAAAAAAAAAAAAAAGGGGGCGAAATGAAATATACATTCATAAAAAATGTGATCGGTGTAAATATGTTTTTAAATTGTGTGTAACGTGTAAATATTGCTGTTTTTATAAATAAAAATGGCGGCTTTTCACAGGCGTATTGAGAATAACGAAACAGTCAATTCCGTTTTCGTCCTTTTTTTGTAAACTTTTGAGTTATATGCATGTTACAAATATATGTTAATAGTTATTGCTTGAATGAAGTGTTTCTCTGATCATTTTAATAATTTATTTTAAGTAACAAATGCAAATCATATTGGAAGTATTTACATTACTTTAGGTAGGGTAAAGTGTTCTTCCTGAAAGGTTACCTTCATTCATAGTCATGTACAACCTTCTATTTTCACCATTTCATCTTATTCTTTACTTTTTTGAATTTATGAAAATGCAACCTAATATAACAGCATTAATTCCATTTGAATGAAACGAAACTTGATCTTCGTTTTATAAAATATGTTATAAAAATATGATGTTAATAGTCTGTATATGTACAAATATATGAAATGGCTATGTGTGTGTACATTAAATTTTTAACGCAGTTTTCAATACTTATGAACGTAAAATCTCATTCAAGTTTTGTTTCAATTGCACGACATTTTTACATAGTTATACATATTTGATCTTGAAGAATGTAGGACTTTGGAAGGTTTATGCAGCATTTATCGATATATTGCACTTAATGAGGTTCACAAAATTTTTCTTTTTTCTTTTCATGAAATTTTTTCTCCTGTTACTTCAAGTTCATAACAGCTTTGTATTTTCGATATTTTTTAAAAATATATAACAGTTACCTATTGGATTAATAAACTAATTTTTATTACTTGTTACAGTTCCTAAACAGTATATACTTTCTTTGGATTCAGTTTATATTGGTGAAAAGAATATGGAATAATTACTGTTTAAATAGTTAGAGCTCAGATTTTATAGGTTTGAGTTTACATTGAATTCTGTTGTGTTTGTCCTTACAGTATAGTATAATTTGTTATTCTTCAAGAACTATTATAGGTTTTACAGTTTTGATATTTATTATATTAGTTGAAAAATATTAGTTGCACTATACAATTTTGCGTTAATCTTCAAATTATGGTAACGTGGCGATTTTTTGGCGAAAATTTGGCGACCAACCCTGCTACAGCAACCTGCTAGTTTTTTTTTGGACGCCATTTTGTTTTCACGAAGTAAAGGCATTTTTTTTCCAACAATCTGCTAGCCGAATTACGCTTATACTAGAACTTTTATGGAACAAAAGTGCTTAATCATGACGAAGATTAGGTGCAAAATTGGGAGAAAGTGCAGATCACCCACTGCTTGCCGCGTTTTTAAGAATTGCACATACACAGTATCCATGTACACGTCGACCTATTTTCACTTCAAAAAACATTCCAGAATTGTACAAAAATGGCATTGCGCACACTCTTGACTTTATCCATGTACACTGCTAAAGTCCTAGCTAGTAACCTTTATCGCCTTACCAAAATGTCGCCAAACTACCTGTTACCATATTCCAAAGATTAGCACAATTTTGTATCAGTGAACTGCAGTGATTATGTGCATATTTTCAACATATGGGCTTCTATAGAATTACTCTCGGAAGATAATGTCTAGCATTACACGTGAATGTTATTTTGCAGTTTTAAACTTACCGTTAATATGAAAATATTATATTGATAAAATTATGGATCCAACAAGACATTCGTATTTTAGTAAGAAAAAAATGTTTTTTATGAGAAATTGCTGTTTTTCTTTTATTTTTTTCTACTAAATTACTATACATTTATAATTTTTTTCTACAATAAAAATCATAAATGTATGAATTTCAAATTGCTGATTTTTTAAAATTGGCATGTTGCTAAAATGCTTTATATTCTTTTATATTTGTTCAAGTATTCTAATTTGTGATATAAGTTACTTATTGGATGCAAATTGTTAATTTTGGCAACTTTTCTTAAAAAGGTCGCCAAACTGTTGCTATTTATTGTCAAAGGCAACAAACATTATCAGCATATTGAAAGAAAATGTTTTTTTAAAAAAAATAGAAAATATACTTTTTTAAAAGAAATACACAGCAATTAAAAATATTTGGTTAATCTTTGGATTATGGTAACTTGGCAATTTTTTGGCAAAAATTTGGCGACCATCTCTGCTACAGCAACCCTCTATTTTTTTTTTGGCCGCCATTTTGTCTTCATGAAGTAAAGACATGTTTCTTTTCTTTTTATTTACTCAACACTTTTTCCAACAATCTGCTAGCTGAATGACACTTATGCTAGAAATTTTATGGAACAAAACTGCTTAATCAAGATAAACATTAACTGCAAAATTGGGAAAAAGTGCAGAATCGCAGACTCCTTGCCGCGATTTTCAGAATCGCACATACACAGTAACCATGTACACGTCGACTTATTTTTACTTAAAAAAACATCCCAGAATTGCACAAAAATGGCATTGTGCACACTCTTCACTATATCCATGTACACTGCTTTTTTCTCATAAATTAGAAAAATTTCACGAAAATGCGTGAAAATTTTGTGAATCTTTAAATTCGGTAAAAAGCAAATATATGAAATTACCTGATTGCGAAAAAATATATACCCTTTCCAAGGATGAACATTTCCACGTATAAAATAAATAATATATCCAAAAACTTTTACCTCTAAATTATCTATTATTAACGTCACCAACGAATTTATAACGCAAACATTAAAAATGGTTGCAAATACTTAGTTAATTTAAATATTATAATATTTAAATTATTTCCATGCACGTTTACTTCCACTGAAACGTATACCAAACTGCTACAAACATATAATTCACAAAATAACTATCATTTAATTAAAATATAATTAAACCATGTACACATCGACTTATTTTACTTAAAGAATACATCCCAGAATTGCACAAAAATGGCCATTGCGCACACTCTTCAACTATTATCCATGTACACTGCTTTTTTTCTCATAAATTAGAAAAATTTACACGAAAATGCATAGGAAAATTTTCTTAATCTCTAAACTTCGGTAAAAAGGCACATATATGAAATTACCTGAATCGCGAAAAAGTATATACCCTTTCAAGGATGGAATATTTCGCACGTATAAAATAAATAAGAATATCCAAAAAACTGTTTCCTCTAAATTATCTATTATATTATGAACGTCACCAACGAGTTTCTACCACAAACATTAAAAATGGTTCCAAATACTTAGTGTCAAATATTTAAATTCTTTCCATAAACAATTACTTCTCCTCAAATGTATTCCAAAATACTACAAACATATAACTCACAAAATTACGATCATTAAATTAAAATATGATTAAATTAAAAAACACTACTTAAAATATAAATAACCACATACATTAAATTAATAATAAAAATTAGCTTACAATCCTAATTATTTTATACTAAATCATTGCTAATAACTATTTTCCCATAATACCATATTAATTTATTTACTCCTTACATTTAGAATAATGCATAAAAATAATATCCTCAAATGATTAAAAATACTAACTTACCTAATCTACAGAATCTTGAGTGCATAGCGGATCACAAAATGTCCATTTTCACCAGATTTCTTGCACCACCATTCAAACTTATCTGTAATATCCTTCCTTTCACACAATCTCATTTCATTCCCACATGTTGGACATTCATACTTATCCGCAATTAATCCTACACTCGTACACCATTCAACCAATTCTTTTGGATTATCAGATAAGTGCATTAAAAATTTAGAATTCATTTTAGATAGCGCCATGCGATCCAAAAATTAAACAACACTCTTTCACACAACACACAATGAAGCTTAATACAAAATACTATAGTACTGCAGATATTTTCCCAAATTTCCCCCTTTTTCCGATTAAAGAACTGTAATTCGTCCATTAATGTCACATGACATATCTCATGATCTCTCATTTCCCTCGCACAAAATAATGCATAATCGGAACTGAGTACTTCTCACATTATTCGCAAAGTCCTAGGTAGTAACCTTTATCGCCTACCAAAATGTCGCCAAACTACCTGTTACCATATTCCAAAGATTAGCCAAATATTTAATTATAAAATAAGAGTTGTACGATACATTAAAAAGATGAAATACTTTTTTGGGAAATCCTTCTCCTGTGAGTGATCTATTTTCAGTTAAAAATAACCATCAGAATTGCACAAACTCGACATCACTCTTAAGAAAGCATTTCGTATGGCTATCGAATAAATGCATCTTGCCATTGCACCCAGAATATTCATTTTTATTTGCAAGTGAACCCATTCCTGTGCACTACTGTAACATAGACTTTCCCCTTTCATTCCAATTTAAAAATGTCCTAAATTATACCTTTTAACCATGATTACTATCACGCCAAAATGTTTAATTCCAACCTTCAACCTAATGAAAGTGACACACAGATTCTGTTTTCACCATTTAAAAATACAGAATTTTAAAAACAACGAATGATATTCGAAAACAAATAACAGTTAATCTTCGGATTATGGTAACATGACGATTTTTGGCAAAACTTTGGCGACTAACCTGCAACAGCAACCTGCTAGTTTTTTTTTTGGACGCATTTCGTTTTCACGAAGTAAAGGCATGTTTTTATCATTTTTTAATTTTTACTCAACATTTTTTTCAACAATCTGCTAGCCAAATTACGCTTATGCTAGAACTTTTATGGAACAAAAGTGCTTAATCATGACGAAGATCAGGTGCGAAATTGGGAGAAAGTGCAGAATCGCCCACTGCTTGCCGCATTTTTAAGAATTGCACATACACGGTATCCATGTACACGTTGACCTATTTTCACTTAAAAAAAACATCCCAGAATTGCACAAAAATGGCATTGCACACACTCTTGACTTTATCCATGTACACTGCTAAAGTCCTAGCTAGTAACCTTTATCGCCTTACCAAAATGTCGCCAAACTACCTGTTACCATATTCCAAACATTAGCCCAGATAACATGTAAGCAAAAGAAAAAAATGGTTGGTGAATTATGAAATACTGATTTAAGAGATATAGGACTATATAAGAAGTTTTAAGTACAGTGGAACCTCGAGATATGAGTTTAATTCATTCCAGCAATGAGCTTGTATAGGGAATTTCTCGTATCTAGAAACAACCTTTCTCATTGAAAATAATGGGAATCCAGTTAATCTGTTCTGCACCCCCAAAAATATCAACATAAAAATCAATTTTTTCTAATAAATAACACTGGTAAATAATATAACCATAATTTACCTTTATGATGGCTTCCAACACCGAATCGCCTTTTAACTGCTTCTTTTTAATCCGCACCAACGGCTTCCCAACACCTTCTATGAGTTTCGGACAATGTTTTGAAGTAATGGTAACTTCTTTGGCCACATCAGATTTCTTAATTTCTTCCTTCTTCTTCAGAATAGTGCAGATTGTCAATGTTGAACGGCCATAAAGTCCTTGCCAATTCTGTCACTCTTACATCACACTTAGGTTTATCTATGATTTCTTTCTTAATTTCAGTGGCCATGGCTTCCTTTCTTTTTATTTCCAGCACTCTCCGAGGCAACAATCTTCCTTGCAGGCATCGTCAAATAATTATTTCCACATTAAATGTAAAAAACAATTAACCCACAAGCACACAAACACGTAGATCAAAGAACACTGATTGATCTGACGAGAAATTCCCCCGAGTCAAGCCAAATCAGGAAATACCGCCACACATACCAACAGCCTGGCTTGTTGCTCATTACTTGAGTCAGTGCTCGTATTTAGAGATGAATTTTTCGCTCATACTTTCACTGCTCATACTTTTCACTGGTGCTCGTATCTCGAGGTTCCACTGTACAGTACAAAGTCTTTAATCTGGACTCGTCAGGACTTTGGCGATTCTGTACTAGGGGTTTTTCCGTATTATAGGTCATCAATTTAAATCTGGTAAGATGGCATACAGAAATTATAAAATTAAAAATATGAAACCGTAATTTATGAAATAAAGAGCAATTATAATCTAAAGGCGTATCAAAATTTAGAAAAAAAAAAAAAAAAAGCTTAATATTTATTTGTTTACTTTATTAAACATTTCTTTCAATGTAAGTTGTTTAAGTTGCTTTGTTTTATGTGCTAATACTTTCTCTTTAATTCTATAAACTGACATAATTTCTTGTTCAATTACAAAGTTCCGCTGTTCAAGTCCTGTAATTGCTGTGCCGAGAATACCGACTAACTTGTCAATCGAAATTTTTTCGCTTTTCACTAACCTATCTGTATCTTTCTTCATATCTGTATACCTATCTGTATACTTTCTTCATGTCTTTATCCATTTTTTGTTTGATGGACATCGAAACATGCTTTTGCTTTGTAGATCCTTTGGCAGCTCCAGAATCGAAAACTCTTTTTGACATTATTGAAAGTTCAAGCTTACTTTTTATAAAATTGCTCTAACAATCTGCAGAAAATAATAAGCCATATTCAATTAGAAGATTAAGGAAGAATGCAATCTGCAACATTAACCGAAATAGATAATTACATAATTTTAGCCTAGCTTATACCATCTGGTATACATTAAACGCGCATGCGTAAAGGTATTAATTGCATGCGTAAACGCTACGCATGCGTAGAAAGTTTGTAGCTTTGAGGTCCAGATTATAGATCATTCTGGATTATGGACGTCCAGATTAAAGACTTTGTACTGTACAATAATTGCTTACAAATCACTCACTCTTAAAAATTATCTGAAGGAACTAATTATTTCTTGTACTTTGACTATTTTGGGAAATGTACATTTCTTTTATGTAACTCTCGTATTTTTCATGATTTTTTTGACAAAATTCATTTTTATACAATTTAGGCTTGGGGAGAGAATATGCTTTACTCCTAGCTGAAAGAGGAGCTGCTGTTGTGGGTATGTCATATTTATTTATTTGTTTATAATGCATGCTTTAGAGTTTGAATTCATCAGTATTCTAAAGAATTATAAATTTTCTGTAATGAGATTTGATACATTAATAATAAAGTTGAACTTATTTTTTTGCATATATATCTATATATATATATCGTATTTGACGGCATATAAGACACACCTTTTTTTCCTAAATTTGGTCTCAAAAAAGTTACCTGCGTCTTATACGTGAAGGATACAGTCTTATACGTGAAGGTAATTGCATTCAATAATTGTTTATTTGGCTTTTATGAAAGGTGAGAACTAAAAGAAACCACGCTATTGAAACTTTTTTCCCTTGTGTGTGGCCGTCTTAAGTAAGGGTGCATCTTGTATGCCAGTGCGTCTTATATGCCGTCAAATACTGTATATGATTTGACATTTATGACATACCAGGAGATTTGAATGCTGACTGTTCTGTTTGCATATTAATGATCCAAGCAATATTTAAGATTTCATTCATGTGAAATACTTTTTTTTTTTAATAATTTTAAGTGACAGACTTTGAATGCTAAAAATAGGGTAATTTTTAAAACAAAATCTTTTCTGTAATAGGACATTCCATGTCAAATGATTTTCTACAGCATGTGTATGCCAGTATCGCTTGTTGAACATTTTAGGTTAAATATGTTTTTCTTATAAGTTCTTGTTTTTATAGTAAATATGAGTAAAAGGTAAAAATATATATATGGGTGCCCCTTGGCGATAATTGGCGATTTTTGGCAGTACATGGACACAGAGTTTGTGCACTTCTTTGGCTTTGTGTAATGGCAATTTTTGTACAAAAATCACCGCTACACAAATCCAAAGTAACAAGACAAAGAACTGCACAACCTCGGTATCCATTTACACATTGACCTATTTTCACTAAAAAAAAAAAAAAAAAAAAAGAAAAGAAAAAAAGAACAGAGTATTTTACAAACTAGGCATTGTGCACTCCCTTGACTTTGGGGGAAAAAAAAAAAATCTCAGTAAACTACATGTTAAATTAAACAATGAAATAAGATAAAAAAGGAAATTCATCTTAGTATTACACAAAGGAAATATCCACTTACCTTATTTACAAATTTCTGTGTCGTCAAACAAAATTCCTTAACAGCATCCAAAAACTTCCTAAAATTATCTGAACTAGAATCTGTATACTAGCGTCGCCACATAAATTCACAAAAATAAGAGTAAAAAATATCCTCCATAGTGCCAGTATCCTCCGACCGTTTGACCATACGCATTTCCTATAAACAGGACACTTATAATGGATACTAAGTAAACCTTTATTTACACACCAGTCAATTAATGCTTTTTTCCCTTTTGTTTCAAATTGTACAGAAACTTCAAATTAATCTTACCACATTCATCCATTTTACCATGTAAACCACAAAATAACAACGCACTTCTTATTTCATCGTTCAAATTCACCACAATCACACAATCGATTACATCATAATAGGGTTTTCCACAGCATTCAACTACTCAGGTTACCATAAATGAAACAACTTCGTGATAAATGAAACAACAACTAGGCAATAAATGAAACGACAGCTTAGCAGTAATCCATCCTTAAATCTACTCTAACCCAGTTAAAAATGTATCATCTTTTTTTCTTTCTTTATTAAGGTAAATAAATTATGTGTATCATATGTAAGAAAACATTTACCTCATTTAAAATTAGTTAATGATGAAAGTATGTTTTCTTGTTGGAAATATCAAGTTAGCACACACATCTTTATTTAAAAAAATGTTTTTGTGTGTGACGTTCTGAAACTGAAAAGATCCTTTGTTTATAAATAATTAATAATAATTTTTATCTTAAAAGTGCTAAACATATAAGAACAGATAAAACATATAAGAAACATCGGTATTTTTCCATTCATGCCAGCAATGTAACTTTTCCTTTATGTGCCAGTAATCTAAATAAATAACGCATTATGTGCGGAGAAATGAAAAAAAAAATCATAAGCAACCTGTAAACATCTTAATTTGTTATTTTTAGTGGCCATCTTTTTTTGATTTTGCTCTGGATTTCAAAGTTCCTCGCTGTAATAATGCTTCTTTTTGTGTAAGTAATATGATTGTATTTATAAAAAAAAAAAAAAAAAAAAAAAAAAGGCAAGGTTAGGCGAGGATGCTGTGCTTGTAAGAATCAAATTAGCATCAGAAAAGATAATTGGTTTGAGAATTCTCATCTCCCCTTTACAACTGCCATCAGATTAGTTTATTTATGGTCGATTGCAGTGACATCCATGTTAATTTGTGAGAAAGAACTTCATATGTCACACAATCACAAAGTCATTGACTGGAATCATTATCTATGGGAATTTTGCATTTGTCAAAAAGGTAGGAGGAGGACCAGGGCAAATTGTCATGAAAGTCTTATCACTATGGAATAATAACGGGGGCCATATTATCCTTCCATAATGTGTTTTTGGAGGAATTTGATGCGATACAAAAGAAACGTTCCTTATTGCTGTTCCAAATAGAGGGGCAGAGTGTTTACTAAAATATATTAACAAAAGGTTCATTATCTGCTTCCCTTGTTGGAAGGAATACAAGATGGACAGACTTATGAAGGTTGGCTTTTCCTACTTCAAATTAAATCAAAAATTCAGTATTTGTATTGTAGACCAAGAAACTAGTGTTCATCTACAGACTGTAGAGTGCATCTGGGGGCAACCAAAAGAAGGAATAAACAGCAACATCACACCACACCACAACATTTATCATCATATTTAACAGAATTGGCTTGTGAAAGAAACAAAAAATGAACAAAAAAGATTTACTCAACTCTATTATCAAAGCGATAGCTAAACACTTTTGTGCCATATATCAACATTGACTTTTAAGAAAGCCAATGAAATTTGTGTCAACAAATAATAGTTATTTAATCTTTTGATGTCATATGTTTTGTACAGTATTTATTTTTTGGCACTTTATGAAAATTATAGGCTACTTTCAACAATAAAAGAATTGGTTTAGTAAGTGAGCACGTAGTGGAAAAGTTAGATTGTGGTCATGTAATGAAAAAGCACTCAAATATTATGTTAATTTCAATTTATTTAAGACTTTTAGATGTGACTTTTAGACTTTTATCAGTCTTAGGTACAGTCCATTATGCACCTGACACACATCTTGTTAACTGTAAAAGAGATGTCAAACACATACTGAGATCCAAGCATAGTACCATCATTTGACATCTGCTGAAAATTGCTTATAATTAAAAACCACAACAAAATGTACCTAATTTTAAGTACTCAGTTTTATTTCTAATCAGTAGTCTAGAAATAACCCAATTTCTAGTCCAGAAAAGTACCTGATTTTATTCAGTAATGGTTCACCAGTGGCCAAGCAATAAGAATACTAATAGTTTGACCTGAGTTTGAATGTCAGTGATCAGGCTGGTTAAATGGAAGTTTTCATGTTTTTTCCCCTTTTTCATATATTGTAAGAATACCTTTTTATTGTTTTATATTTTATATTTCTTGGCTCATGAGCAAGCCTTATTTAAAATTTTATCAGAATAGTTTAGCAGTTTGTACGTGGTGACAATGATGTATTTACAAGTTGAAAAATGATGTAGCAGTGTTTTTTTTTTTTTTTTTTTTTTTTTTTATGAAGGGAAAATTAATTTTTGTTGAAGCACAAATTAGGCATTGTGCACTGCCTTAACTTTGTCCATGTGGACATTGATCTATTTTCACTTAAACAAAGTCAAGAAGCTGAAACAAAGTTAAAACTATCGTGTTAACCAGAAAAAATTCGCCACTGTCTTAACCCTTTGCGGCATGGTGGGTCAATATATGCCCCACCTAATTAATATTTATTTTCTCAGTTAGCAATTTCCGCTAGAAATTTTCTAATCTTTTAAAAATAATCTATTTTAGTTATAATTTTTCTCAGTAGATGTTATTACTATACCAGGGCTTAAGTTTATAAGCAAAAAATATTCAAAATAGGATCACAAGAGTGATATCCATGTATCTCGCATTTTTCAATATTTAAAAAATTTTGGTATACAATTTATGATATGTATGATTCTTTTTAATATTCAAAGGTATTTTATTTTCAAAAATCTTAATTGGATTCAATATTTTATAACATTAATTTTGCAGTTGAAATAAGTGGGTTAAAATTTGTCCCACCACACACTTGAATTTCCGCTCAATAGATGGCAGCACTCACGATTATTTTTCTTTTTCTTTTTTGCATCTACTTTTTTCGTGATTGCGCGTGCTTTTACATCCGTTGTATGCTCTGATGCGCTAAAATGTCTAGAAAAAATTAACAACTCAGAGTGAAGCCATAGTTGTAAGTTATAATTCCAATTTTGCTGAATTGCCATCCGATTGCGACTCAAATGCTTCAGATGTCAGTTCTGATTCAGATGAAATTGAAATCCAGGAGAGAATAACTGAGGTTGAAGTTATTGCTGAAGAAGAAATGGAAGTAGTTATAATTTGTTTTGCTTTTTAAAGACACAAACCCATCTATGCGTGTGGCACTGTAAATATGGATCGGAAGTATCTACCCAAAAATTTAGAAGACAAATTTATGTCAAGAGAATATATAGACTTTTCAGTTAGCGATGATTCAATTTATCGCATAAAATGGAAGGATAAAAAAAGATCCGTTTCTATCCTATCTTGCTTGGAAAAGGCAACTGAAATGAAAGAAATTAATAGAAAAAAACAAGATGGAAAGACAAAAAAAAAAAAAAAAAAAAAAAAAAAAAAAAAAAAAAAGGTACTGTGCCCAAACAGCATTATTTCATACAATAAGAATATGGGATATGTCGACTGATTGATCAACTGAAAGGACTATACGAAATAGACCGCAAAAGCAAGAAATGGTGGCACATGATTTTTTTTTTACTTTTTAGATGCGAGTATAGTAAACACATTTATTCAAGTTTGTTCGCGAACCTGATCATGATGTAAAAACAATGAAAGATTTTCTTCTCTCAGTTATAG